GCTAGGTATGCGCTGGTGTATCACCACTCGTCTGCATATATAGGCGATACACTATTTGGTTTTAGAAATTTAAGCAGCAGTGAGAAGAAAAGCACAGTCTAAGACTGTTTTCTATGATCACACTGGCAAGCGACAGTTTACATAGTAGTGTTTATCTTCTCGAATATATGACTCACAAGTATTAGTAAAAATTATGAATAAGAAATAAACTCTCAATTGATAATATCATATACATTATTTACGCCTGGGAGAAATGAGGTTGAAGAAAAAAAAATCAAAGAAAATGATAATTTTTTTTAAATGAATAAAATCTGACCTATAAATTTTCGAATCGAAATGATTTTCATTCAGAAATAACCTTTTATAAAATAACAACAATCATAAGATTTTATAATAACTTTAAAACTTATGAATAGGAATACTGTGAATATGAATGTGTGAAAAAGATTCCCTTTCTTAATGACCTTTATTTGATTTGACATACGGAAACAGATTTTATTATCTTTCAAGAGAAAATAGGAAGCAGAGGTTTCACAGAAGTAGTATAGACCTTAGGAAATGTTATTTACACACATAGATATTGTACATATATGAGTGATAATAATCGATATACCTTTTGGACAGTGTACAGTTTTATTTTATTTCTCTAAGGGAAAAGGGTCAAGGTGAGATAAAGACCAACCAGAGATTAGTAATATACAGGCAAGTAAAAATGAAAAAGTCAAAATAATACGAAACTTTCTAGCATACATTATTTTTCCACACCCGTATTTTTTGCGTCATTTACTTATAACGCATAATCCTTGTAGTGATGCAGATTCAATCAGAAGGATTAGCATTTGTTCATAGTGTTTGAATTGTAGGGAAAAACAACTAGTGTCTATATACATTCAGTATAACCGTTGAACTGAAGATTCACATTAATTGTAAGGTATGATGTATTCAACGGATTCGCTTCACTTTTCAATGACAGGAATGTTAGTATTAACTAGGTAATACTTTTCACAGCTTTCAGGTTGTTTTAGTGATACAACTTTAACTTATATACAGTAATTGATCTTGGTGACTAGCAGAGGAATCCAAGACGCGTGTTTCATCCTGTTTTGGACTCATCAGCTGGATGTTCGTGCACCCAAGTCAGTGATGTTGTTCCCACTGAGGTTCGAAGACAGTACTCTTGTATAGTAAGTTAACCCGTAAGCGGACCATTTTTATTTTGTTTAGTTGTTACTGCTGGAGCCGTTAAAGTAGTGTGTATCGCTTTGCTTAACAAATTACTAAGTAGATAAACAGCAGCTTGGTTAATTTATGGGAGGAAGCTTCCAGTTAAATTACTAGTTTAGTTATTTTCTAGTGTATATTGATAACATACTTCAAGATGTGTCTCTTCAAGTTCTAATTAGGATTCACTACTTGCTGGTTCCAGAAAGTTGAGAGTCAAGGGAAAGCTCATTGATGACTTTAGATTATGGTCGTACTTCTGCGGATTGTAGGGAGTTAGCGAAACTTGACCGCTGGATCTCACTCCAGGACTTCAATGATAATGTAATCCTCTCCGAGGCTGAGATTGTAAGCTTCATCCTAAGCAAGGTCGTCGGTGTACACTACATAGGAGTCCATAACTAGGAAGAAATGACTATACAACTAATTTATAGTCATTATCAAAACTGCTGACAAGTCGACGAATTACGGCAAATCGCCAAATGAAGAGCTTTCAGTTTTCGCCCAAGATGGCCGGCATAATTATTAGAAGGAATTAGGCATGGATAACAGTACTGATTTTATTCTTATCATTATTTGTCCCTTGGGTTCCTAGTGCAACATACACCTTCAGTAACATGTTGCCATTCCACTCTGTTCTCTGCAGCTCTGTGAACCTGGATCCACAACCACCCACAACCCTCATTTCTTCCTCACATAATCTTCTCCATGTACGCCTCTGCTCACATACCCAACCCATCGTTTCCCATACGGGTTCCACTCAACAGTCTGACGCTTGATGTCTCCGAATGGTTTTCCCAATATATGCCCAATCCAATCCATCTCCACTTTATTCTTCTGCATATTTGTTGGGAGATGGGTTTTTGGTTGGTTGGTTCGTTGCCACCCACAATTCCTTGTTGCTTATTCTCATTATTCTGGTCACCTAATCTGATCTTCAGTATCGAGTGAGGGTAGGCGGAAGCTGTTAATTTGATGGATGTCTGTAGTTTGTTGGAAATGCTTTCCGTTACACGCTAAGTCTGTCAACCATCACATAGAAGCACTGACTTACTTGACTGACTTAGTGTTGAAAATCCAGATGTTGTTCAAGCTTAGTGCCGAGTGCAGTGCAGTGCGGTGGATGTCCACACTGGTTTCAGAATAATGTGGACCTGTCTTGGTGTCTTTCCGATGGTGGCTGCTTCGACGTCCTCATCTGTGCCTGTGCCGCCTGTAGTTGAAATGATGCTTCCTGTGTGGTAGGTGAAAGAGACAACTTGCTTTAGGTTTCTTCCCTTAATGATGATTGATGCCTTTTGTTGATGTTGTTGTTGGTTGGGTATCTTCATCACCTCTGTCTTCTCTACCTTCACCTGAAGGTGCCAAAAAGCACCAAACCTAGGTCCAGAGCTTCCTGCCAATTGCCTCCAGCCAACTAATATTTAATAATGTGCACAGCGATGCTGAGCTTCCTAGCTTGATTTACACATTGCAAATATGATCGATAGAATTCGATCTGCACTCAGGACTAGACAACATGAAATTAGTTGCACTCCAGTGACCAATCAATACATGTAAGCTAGTCCTACAGGAGGTCAGTCGCGGCCCAAATAACTCAGTGGTAAAGTCGCTGACTACAACACTGGGTGACGCGGGTTCGAATCTCGGGTGGGACATCAGTTCCGTTGAGGTTGCAGATACGCCTTGCTGACGAGTGGCAAAAAGCACTAAACCTGGGTCCAGGGCTTCCTGTTCATTGCCTCCAACCAACTAATGAACATAATTTATGTAAATCGACAACTCGTACAGGTCTTATTCTCTGGAGAAACGATTTCCACGAAATCATGAAATGTCAAAAATTTACTTTGTTACTTCATTGAAATTTTACAAATATGTTTAGTTTATAAACATTTTCAGTTGAAAAACATGTTTGTTAGTTTTTCTGCAAGTTTAATTGACTGTTATACTTACACTTGTACTGATATAATGAAAGAAATACAGTCAGTATTCCATAATCAATCCTATAGTAAACCTAACAAAAAACACTTTAGCTAGTGAACTCTTTTTTCTTATCTCATAAAATAGAAGTAATAAAAGTCAACAATTTTAGAAAAGTGTCATCTACTAGACAGAAAATGTCTATCATTCAAAATCAAGGTATATTCGTACGGAGGCACTTTAATAATGATAGTACATAAAAATAAATAAATTTATCAGTTAGGCTTATTTTTAGTTGATCATCCATAAAATACATAAAACTTATCTCGTATATAATCATAGATGGAATGGATTTTTTTTCATTAATTTATTTTCTTTCCTGTTACAGGATATTGAGGTTTTCAGTTGGAAACCACCGGAGTATATAAAAAAAGCACCTTTTATACAACACTATATGATGAAATGGTGAAGCTGTATAAACGTATTGAACCTTCCAACTTTTAAGTATGTGCAATAAAAGTAGGCTTTATGTTGGAATAATAAAATTAATAATTGCATAGGAAGTCTACTTTTATCACTTGTTTTCATTGCCTGCATAGGTGTACGTGTTTCTATCCATGGGCAGTTTTATTGAGGTTTATGTTTAAGCTGTCAGCACAGTCTAAATGTTTAGAGACAGTCTAAAATATGCTACTCATGTTCTCCCGAGTAATAGTTTTCGATGTGTGAAAGATACCCATCATGACAAGAAAGAAGAACAAGTAGTTCCGCGAGGAATTTCTTTTCGTCAGTTTCATTCTCAAAGGTGTACAATCACAAACTTATTCATTGTTCTTGTGTTGGAGTTTGGTAGTTAAAAATGGTTTATCAAACATGGCAACAAAAAAGTGTAAAGAAAAATGGGTTGTCATTAAAATTTAGAAAAACTGTAATGAGTAGTGGAGTTTTATACAGGTTGCTAAGTTTAATTAAGAGGTTACGTAAGATAAAAAAATTTCGAACCTGAAGTGTTCTGAATAAAGCATAGGAACACGAATGAGTGATAAATTACGTAAAAAGTATACAGTGTAAAAAGAAAGACGTAACTTCAAAGACCGAAAATAAAGACCGTGACATTAGAAGTTGAATGATTTTCTTTCGCACAGAAAGCCTAGATTTCTCCATATGGATAGCGGAGAATAGGAAGATGTATAACTCTTCGCAGGTTTCTTTTTCGCTTATAAATGAGTCTGTATCACGACCTCCTTAAGATACTGTGATGTGTGTTTATGTATTCAGTTAAAGCACTTATTATCTACCCACTTTTACCTCTCTTTGTAACTACGAAGGATAGTATATTTGAACCCTTTTGGAAAACAGTTGTAGCGAACGATCTATATACAAAGCTACACAAATATTTTTTCGTGTTATGAAAATTTGTTTTCCAAACCTAGTAATCTACTTGCAATTCCAGTTATATTCTGATTAATCTTCACTATTCATTGTAGTTGGTTTGTCTTAATGACAGCTCATGTACTGACACTATTTTTGTTACCATGTTTTACAAACCACTTTAAGCTATCAAACCCTAACGCAGGAAAAATTGATAAATTTGTGGTTTTACATCTTTGAGAATGAAACTGATGGAAAGAGAGTTTTTGTGGAAATAGTTTTTCTTTCAGTTAATAGTGGTTAGTTAAACACAGACTAGTTCTTAACATTTTATGAAATGTTTCCCTGTAAAGAAAACGATCCACACCAAATGTTCCCAGAGAATGTTCCTAATCAAGCGAATATTACTGAAGGATGAAAACAGGCAACAACAAAAACAAATCTTATGAATTTTTTACTATCTAAAACAGATTGTAAAATAGTCTTACATTATCGGAAGTATTAGTTCACCACCACTGTGAATGACTCTACCCACGGTACACTGGATGTAACCAAGAAGTACAGAATCCTAGAAAATAAGAACATAGTGTAAACATAAAATAAATAATTTAATTTTTAAATTACGTGAGATACTTCTATGGAATTCTAGGAAAGCATAGTGTTTTTTGTACATTTTATCAGAAGACTATATATATTATGAGTACCAGTATCAACTTTTCACTGTGGTTACTCTTGAAGTCTTCACAGTGTCTGAAATATATTCAGAGCATGAACAGTATATGTTGTTTCATAAACTAAAGGACTTTGGTGATCAATTCAGATTGAGTTGACACTACCCAGTAATGCAGTAGAGACAAAGCTAGTTTTTAATATGATGAACGATAAAAACATTTCCTCCACATGCACATATGAGATATCAGATTTGTCGAAATATATACAGCAGTTTTCCGGTGGATATTTCTCCATAATGAAGTGTATCGCAAAATAATTCATCCGAATCCTTGTCAAGATATGACCGAATAGTTTCACATATATTTGGCATCAAGTGAAAAGTTAATATTAGATATAAGTTATGTTTAAATAAATTCCAGCGTGTTTAAAGTAAGAAATTCCAACATTTTGCACAGAAGTCGGATCCGAGCTTTTTCAGAGAAATAATCAAAATTTACATTATCAAAGATAAATATAACAGTAATATAGGTGTAAAACTTGGGCAATGTGGTAGGAATTATTTCCTTATTAGATTTGTTTATTTGATTTATAACACACAGTGATCTAGTATTATTTACTGATGACATTTAGAGCATAAATTATTGCTCATTATCATATCAATGTATAGTTCATCTCACTGTCCAATCATCACTGAGTTATGATTGTTTTTTAATAGGGTTATTAATCATTCACACCATGGTGCATAGATACATACGATGCATGAATGTAAGCCCGTATATATGTCTGTGCATGTGTGTGTTGCATTTCAAATATTAGTTAATACAAAATAATCGAGGTCATCTGCGCCATAATTTTCAATGCATGAAGATAATGTACCTGTTTCAAGTATGTGTATAGCAGTTACAGCAAGTTATTGAGGCATAGTTTCATCATAATTTTTCTTATCGTTTACTTTTTGTAGAAAATAAACAGCATGTAGACATCTTAATATGTTGCTTTTATCGTGCACGCTACAATTTTCTTTCGGAAATAAACTGCACTAAGTAGGATTCCATAATACAACTAGCTAGGCGTTTTTACTGAGAGAAAATGCTTCAAAAAAGAAATTCTGTTGAGCCAATTTTAAACTCTTAAGTTAGAGTTTCCAGTCAACCAGAGGAAGTTTGTTTGTTTAAATGTAAAAATAACTTAAACACACTGGAGAACTCTGCCTAATATAATCATCAGAAAAATAATAATTCAATCTAAATACTTTCCATGAAAATTAGTTCAGATCACTCCTCTACAATAAGGCTGACAAAACACTAGTGAACATTTCAGAGCTGTAAGAGAACTAGTTACGAGAGAACCCCGACATTATCATGCTCAGACCTGACAAAGGCTCAGGTATCGTGATCATGGATGAAATCGAATATAAGTTTAAAATGTCGTCTATTCTTGAAGATGAAAATAAATTCACTAAAGACTGTTCTTCAGAAGACGTACGATTGTTTCAGGGAATTGTGACCGCTAATCTAGTGAAACTGCTCGATATGAACGTTATTACTAGACAAAAATTTGATTTACTGAAACCAACTGACTCTCGACTCACATATATTTATGGTTTGACCAAAGTACACTAACCCAACAACCTGTTACGTCCCATAATGTCAATGTGCAAGTCGCTAACGCATAAGCTTGCCCAGTGGCTAGTGTACTTACTGGATCCCATTAAGAAGCAAATCTGTAAGTATTCCTTGAGAGATAAATTTGAAGTGATCAAATGCCCTGAGGATGTCAACATAAAAAGCAAACTTATGTGATCATTTGACGTTAACTCATTATTCACCAATGTTTCTTCGGTGAAGACAACTGACGTTTCATGTGATTAAATTTTTGTGAATAATTTTTCAATGCCATTTCTTTGGACCATTTGAAAAAACTGCTACTTTTATGTACAAGTGGTATTAAATTCCGCATTTGAGAGCGAACATTTCCGCTAGGTTGATGGCGTTGCCATGGGAAGTCCTTTAAGTCTCCTCCTAGCTGACATTTATGTCACACGTAGTAAATTTCCCTGAGAACCTAATATGTTAACGATATCCTGATTATTCATGAAAACTCAGTGAATTTAGACGGAAAAATTGGATTTAAACATTTTTGGTGCTATATATGACTAGCCTTGTGAAAAATAAAATTATGAATTGACAGATATTCAAAGCATATACATAACTCGAAGTTAGTTTACCAGCAGTCAGCCTAACATAGCTATGCATAAATTTTCCTTCTCATTTTTCGTAAACACGTTAATAATTCAAAAATTGATCAATTTCTTTTAAACAAAAACATTTTAATTTATTAATTTATTATTCTGCTAAATGTAACATGAAGTATTTTAGGAAATAATTTACAAGTTCTATTTTTTTGCTTTCTCTTACACTAGTGAATATTTTAAAATAAGATGGAAATTAATTTCCGTTTTATCACCTTAAAAAGTGTTAAAACTTTTCTGGCAGGAAATAGTTCATGAAAGAGAGAGAGAGAGAGAGAGGGGAATGATGAACGACATAAGAAAGCTTACCACTATAGTGTGTGAGGAAGAAACTCACATAACCGTGTGTTCAGGACAAATCTTGTTGAAAAAAAACAAATGATTTAACTGGCATAAAATCAGAGGTAGAATCACATTCTCCCGTTGGATGAACACATTTTATTCAAAAAGGAAATAATTAGTAGAAATCTTATTTTGAATTAAAGAAACATTCAGTTAAATTGATGTTACATTCGTGAATAAATTGAATAATTCATTAAAGCTGAGCAATGTCAATAATTAGATCTAGAGAGTAATTTAATAATTTGTTAGTTATTCTACTGATGTGCCTATCTTCTAGTTTGAAACCTGTAAACTGATTTAGATTTTGGGAATTCATCTTTCTGATATGATTCAATCCGCATTGAAGGTAAAATTTACTACATGCATTTCTGTTTCAGGAATCACATTTTTTGATTTTACTTGGGTATTTTTCAATGAAAAGCTAATTAAACAACCAAAATACGAATGTAGATAGTGCAATTTCTGAGTATTTTGAAGACTAATGGAGTAAACATTTTATCGATGACCTTATTATCATAATAAATCAACTTCAGCTGTAAAATAACCGTTTGACAGCATTGCCAAGAATCAGTAACCCCTATGACATCTTTTAGCTTCTTATAACAAATCCACCCAAGTTTGAGAAATAAGATCGATATTTAGTTTCCTGAATCTGTAAGCGTGTGTAGAGTGTGACAATGAATATCGCTGCTCAGGACTGGGTGCAATAAATCGTCCGTTCAACGTTTTCTACCTTTGATGTTTTTGAAAACAAAAGTGTCTGAGCATCATTTTTTTCAGCGACATCGATTGTTTTAGTGTTCATTTCAGTATGCTGCAGGCTGGCATGGTGGTGAGCTCAAATGTTCGAAAACGTTACGTGACACTGCCTAGGAAACCTTTCGAATAACCTAAAAAATTGGAGACTTTAAATTCTCTACATAAATGATGTCATCATCCGATGCATGTTGCAGTTATTCACTGACATACTCCTTAAAGAAACTTCAAACAGTAGTTACCAGCACTCATAAAACACAATGTAAGGCGAAATACCTGTCCAGCACCCCCAGGTATTCAAAAATTCTCTAACTGAAGTCAGTTCATGATTAATACCAAAATGAATTCAGTGTATTCCCATAGACTTTCATGTCGAATAATATAGCGTTACCTGTAACGAGAATGAGGTACTTCTTTCCTTTATGTTCTTTATATCTATACTTTCATTTAAGCAGTATCTTATACTGACCGACTTATTTACTTGTTATGGAAAATTCATTCGGACAAGTATTAGCAGTCGTATCCATGGGAAACCATCCAAAAACAGGATGGGATTTAGTAACATTTCATGCGAAGTTTACCGACAAAACCCTCATAAACTACAGTGTTTTGGGTGACACTAACAATCGGCTGGATGTCTTTAGAGGTTGTTACGAAAGATCATTTTTATTGTATTATATATATCATTTATTATGGAAAAGTGAGGATTGCTCAGAATTTTCTAACATATGTATAAGATGACTAATCAATCACTCATCGTGTTGCATGTAAAATGGATAGTGGTACATTTCTGCAACTTCTACTTCGCAAAACCTAGGAGGGGTTTGATTGTGTCACTGAGAAAGATCACAGCGATTATTCTGTGAAAAGGTTCCTTATTACAAACTATCATTAGTTTTAAAGCTGCTACATGACAGTCAATACCTACTGAAGTATATGTAGAAATACTGTAACATGTAGAAGTGAAGAAAATGAATGTTAGACTGCCTGTCAGCGAAGACAATGTAGATGAAAGAAGTAGCAGAATGAAAAGAATAAAGTACGTTAGCCTAATCATATCCAGTCTCTAAATTGGAGATAGTGTGCACTACCACATGCTCTATCGTTCTTTCAACATCGGACACCTTTTTATATATTAAAACCCCCAAATATGTCTATCAAATACCGTAAACGTGTACACGTCTCTCTATCAGTAGAACCCAAAAAAGTGTTCCGTAAGATACCAGGATTTTCAAAAGTTGTTTTTTAAGAGTGGAAGCTACCTGCCAACTTGATAGCTATCGTTAACATAACACAGCAAATGAAGCGGGAAGTAGCAAAGTCTTTTAAATCTCAGAGCAGGCAAAAATTCTTGCTATCACTTTGATTTGTGGAAGCTACTGCAATCAGAAAAATCCATCCGCATTTGGATACTTTTTGTAGACAGACTTCCTCTTGTCACCATGGCAATCTTTAAAAAAGGTCATCTTTTTCACTACCAATTTACTACGTATTATCATTTCTTTTTGCTGGCCGTAATATTGTTACTCATTTAGCCACTATAGTTC